AGGGTACGAGCTGGATTAAAGCCACGCTACCTTAACACAAAGGAAGATGCTAACTGACACATCTAACAGCTGCTATTTCCAAGTGTTCTTTGAATGGTGCATAGATACATACACCTGATTTGTTTGTAGTCATCTGCAAAATTAATTAAACCCCAAAAGCCTTTAGAGATCAGAAGGTTAAGCCTGTCATGAATTTCTGAAGGCTGCCAAATTAAAAAAAAAAAAAAAGATTCTTTACTTCCCTCAAGATCTTTGTATATACACATTTCTTCAATCACCTTCCAGCACCCATCTTCTAAACATTAACTTTTCTCTGAAAATCCCAGTATTAGTATCCTAGTCTGGCATTCTAAAAATACAACATCCATTGCTGAGAGGAGGAGCACATTAAAACAAGCACTGTGTTCAAAAGAATAAACTACACTGAGAAGAGCTCTAAATCCACTTCACCACCACTATCTGATATTTCATGAGCATGGGCCCCTTCCTAACTCCACAAGCAGCCTGGGTTCATTTTTAATGCCCTGCCATCCAGAGAATGCGTCTAACCTAGCTGAGGCATGTGTTTGCATCTCAGCTTTGCCCTCCCCAAGGGACCAGCTTTCTCCAAGAACCAGCACGACACTCCTGTTGCTATAGGAACAACAGAGCTGTAATCACCAAGGTCTTAGTATAATTCACATATCAAGCTTACTAGCTGCACAGCTTCCATGTACAGATTTGCCAGAGCAGCGACTTAAGAAAGCCAAGTGCTAGCCTACCATTTAGAAATGTAAGTAACTGGGAAACAGGAAGTATGTTTTTATGCAGGAGATGCTTCTGTGCATGTAACTTCCAGAGAGGCATTTTGCTTGTATTAAAAATATGTGAGAAAGCCTCAATTTCATCATCTCAAGCTCAAGAAACCTAATGAATCTGAGATGCATTAGTTCTTGCTGCAATGCAGGGAAGGCAACTAATATGTTAGTATCTCAAAGCGGCTCATGATTACATCTACTCTCTAGCATATACACTGGCTGAACAGAGATGCTTTTAGGTTCCTCAGTTATTCTTGGAGCCATAAAAACAAAACAACAACCAACCCACAGATGTCAACTAAAAAGCTCCTTGACTACAGAAAAATGCCCTGTATTTTGCACTTTCATATAGGTGTTAACAACATTACAGCAATGATCAAAAAATAAAATGGTTATTAAAAAAATGTGAGTATGACATTACCGTTTAGTCTCTTAATTAATACTAAATTTAAGTATTAAATACTTCAGCTTAGAGTTTTATAACTGTTGTTCAGGCTTTCCTGGGTTACTGAGATCTCATCCCTTCTGCTAGCAGGTCACCTTTCAATGTATAATAAAGTAATTTTAATGCATCAGATAAGCCTCATAACTGTCATGGATGCAACATGACTGTCTGGATCAGCTGAAGAAAAGAATGGGTGAACAGGCCAAAATATTAATAAAACCAGATAAAATATGAAGCTATGAACAGAATCCAGACATCTGCATTGCCTAAATGTTCGTTGCTCTTGGTGGACTGCAGCCCGTGTTAGGGGAACAGCACCTCTCGAGAAGCGTATCAAAGTCAACACACTGAGGGACTAGGCGCTTCTTGAGATTCTGGAATACGCTGAAAAGAAAGGGCAAATAGAGCTCAAATAAAAAGAAGGAAAAGAAAAAAAGACTATTTTAAGACTAGTACAACATGTTCCGGTCATTCAAGATCTCTTCACAGATCTGTTGCTCTAATATATGTTGCAGCTATGAATGTAAAGAGTTTAGAATGCATACTAGGAAGATTTGCATGGATTTCAATTTGGTATCTGCTACAGCACATTAGAGAGCCCTGGACATATGTCATTATTACCTGATCTACACAAAGATATTCAGTAGTGCAATCAGAATAACTTTGAGCTTCCTGTCAGGAAAACAAGATTCACTTCAACAGTATACAATGTAGATGTTTCAAGAGTGAAGGCGTTCCAAACGTGCATTTCAAATGTAAAAGGAGATCTGTAAATAATCCTAAACCACAGTGATTTTGTACGTCTGAACTGATTAATTCCTTTTGAAAGCGAGATGGGAAATAAAAAGATAAAAGAGTAATCTCTCCTCTTCCTATAAAAATAAGCACAAACAGAAGGGAAGTCTTAGACTTCAGGCTTGCTTAAAAATTACAGAGGTATTCTAAGATGCTTCTTGATCAAAATTATCAATTAACTTCTATTGCTGAACCCTAAGACAGTAAGCAGAGTATCATGGAGGAACTTAAATGTCAGCGATATGGTTATTAATAGTGGCTCACTGAAGGTTTATGACACAAGCACTTGAATTCAGCAGGGACAAGTGTAAACTTCTTTCTTCAATGCACTGCCACATTGCTACAAATACACATTGGACACATAGGTTGCAGTGACTCCCTGTGGTCAAACAAATAGGCTCAGTAACGAAGCTGACAGATCGTTATCAGAAACCGTAGTAGGGAGCACCATACAGGGATAAGCTCAGCCGTGCTACCTCAGATAATTACCGCAAGGCCACCAGCCAGCTGTTCTAAGACAGTATTTCATGGGTGCACAACAAAGGAAAGCACAAAAAATGTAGTAGAGACTGTGATACACTTACAAAATTCTAGACCATCCATCCTCTGTACTCTTCTCAAAAACAAAAACCAAAATGACCTTCCTGTAATTCTGGAGCCAGACTACAGCATTTTTGAGTGATGCACAAAAATTTGCAGGTCTATAACAAAGCTTTTAGAGTGCTAAGGCCAAGTATGCCATTCCCTTTTTTGGAACGAAATGGGAGTACGAAATCAGCTTTCTGTCTTTTGTATGCTTGCTGGAGAAAAATGACTCTAAAGAGAGGTTTGGGACAAGCGAGACTGAGTTTGAGACCTATTAGAAGGAAAGATTGTGAAATCCACTAAAATACTAACTCTTTGTAAGTTACTCCTTAAATAACACACCTTTTAGTTGTTGCGTAAGGCAAGTTGCATAAAGAAAAAAAAAAAATCCTCCAGAAGAGATGCAATGAAAACAGCAGAAAAGTAGGGAAGAAAATTCCTTTAAGCAATCTTGAGGAACACAAAACATTTAAGTACGTCAGTGTGTGGACTTGGGCCGGGGTTTTTCAGCGCCAGATAATGCCATCTAGTGGAGACAGAATCTCTCGTAAGATGGCAAATCGGACACCTACGCAATTTGTATTCTCTATTTCCAGTGCTTTCATAACGACCCGTCCTGTTTCACCAACACCAGGATACAGCAGAAGGTGCAGACAGACAGCAACGACTGCTGCTGCACGAGCCACCACACCTAAGAGCAAAGAGCAACATTATCATAACTGACTGTTAGAAATCTGGAGAGATTTCTAAGGAAATCAAAGTCCTGAGCAATAAACTATAATTGCTTATGTCTATACAGCATATAGCATATGCTTCATCTTTATAGCATAGCTTCATCTTTCTCCAAAGGAAAAAGTATTTGGCTAGGTTTCCTCATTTTCATTTGTTCTTCATGCTATTCACTACTTAATTTGGAGAGAGAGCATATCTGAATATGAAAAGAACCAACATCCTTTTAACTATTTTCTTTCGTTGTTCTTTTTTCCCCTACCAAGAAAAATCTTAATGGTCAGCTTAATAATAATTTGGGAGGATCGAAGGTAGATTGTGGGGTCAAACCTCCCAGGAAAGACAGCAGTGTCTCAGATTAGATCAAAGCGAGCATCAACAGGGAGGACTTCACTTCCCTATGGACACAGTTTTAAGAATATTCAAGGACTTTAAGAAAATGATGACAGAGAAATCAGTTAGCATTTGTTCAAATACGGGACAAAGACAACTTTTTTAATAACGTATGAAGCTCTTACATTTCCTGTATTCCATGATTAGTGAATCTAGAAGCAGACTAAGTAACTGTTGGTCTCTCTTTTGATTACATTTAAAAGTTATGTCAAAATTCAATTTTTGAGTCTCCAAAGCCCTCTGCAAAGTGAGAAAATATAATTTTACAGATAATAAAACCAGACAGTTTAGACAAGAAAGTTAGATCAAGCTATGCAGGAACACAGCTGTACAAAGTATCTGTGTTCCCTGGCTGGACTTCTGTTTTTATTATCTCTTCTTTGCCAAAGTGCAGGTAATTCAGCATATATTTTAATTGTGAGAAATGTAACTACTTTAGGGATAATGCTGAAAAATGCCAACTGCAACTAAGACAGTCTTTCTTAACTGAATATCTACCTCAGTTTTTGACAAGAAACCAGCAAACTTTCACTTTAGACTGGAAGAAAAGTTTAAGAATTCTGAGCCAAAATATGCAAGTATATCTATCTCCATCAATCCCCCAGCTATGTGAGGAATGAACACACAGGCTTAAAACTGAAGAGCAAGTTTGTGCAGGTTGTGTTTCTAATGGTTTTCTAAATGTCTTAGATGTATATTAAATTTCTGCTCAACTCAGTTCTTTCTGGCATACAAGTCTTACAATTTTCCTTCAATACCAAATTCTACAATATGAATGTGACTTGGCACAAGGCCTATGAAGGGGAGAAAAAAAAATTCAGAAAGAAACATTCAGGTTCAGAAGAGATTAGTAGATTCAGAGTAGCACCACACAATTGTTTAGCAAGACTTCTGCAAAGAATTCACAAAAGCAGCATGTACTCCATTCCCTTAATGGGAATCTAAACAAGCCACAGCAGATTTGTAAACTTATTTCATGGCTACTACCCCGTCCGGGAATTAATTACATTGTGCAAATTAAAGAAATGCAATGGGAAACAAACTCGTCCTATTGCTAAACTTTCCCTCTTACTCTTCTGAAGTAGTAACACTGTACTTCCACATTCATGAAAATGTGAAAAACAAAAGATGTTAGATGATTCCATTTTATTTTGTGAGAAGTGTTATCAAGCAACTGGAGTCACAGTAACTAAATTTGCTATTTTCTGAGACTGTTCTCACAGATTAAACACAAGGCAGACAAATCCAGTACTCACCCTGATCAATTGAGTGTTGAGGAAGCTGGCTAAGTTGGCTATTCACTACACCTGCATATGTGCGCAAGAACTCCTCTTCACTAGCAGTCAGCTGGAAATGTACAGAGTCAGTCAGCAAAAAGGAAAATGACAAAAGACTGAAGATGTTATTTCCCACTTCCCAATAAGAAATGTCACAGTTGCCTCTATTCTACTTTTCAACAGTTTAATCAACTGTTACTTGTGCAAACTATACCATCAGCAAGGACACAGCAGCAAACTGGTACATCATGCATTCATGGAGAGATTCAAAGTCGCCTGAAAACAGGTGCTTTATTTTGCTGGTTTTCCAATAATGAAAAACTTTATTGTATATAGAGAAATGATCAGATGCTTAGATTTAGTTTCAGGCATCACAAGGTTCATAACATTTAAGCAAAAATCAATTGTGTTTAACTGCAGATAATGGTTAAATCAATGATGGCTAAAACAATTCAGTCATAAAACCAGACCACCGGCTGCCCATCTCATTAAGCACTACCCCAGTTACTACAAAACTATCTGGAAAGCCACAAAATATGGGCTATGACAGTGCATCTTACATTTGATCCCATCTTCCTCAGCATGAGTAGGACTCTCACTTTCTGCTGAATATACATCTCCTCCGGACTCTTTCCGGGGACGCCCTCACGGTTCATTCCCCTCCTGCCAGCTCCTGCGTTTCCTGAAGATAAAAGATCAGAAAAAGACAAATTAAAATAGGAAATGGGCTATAGTAGGAATAATAGGAAAAGTTTAATTTCCAAACTACCTATTTTTCACCAGTGGGCAGACCACTTAATAGCCTGGGAGAGTAAGGAATCACATGCTTTATCAGAGAAATCCTTAAAAATTTGAACTGCTGAACTGGGCCTTACATATGCAACTCAAACATTCAAAGAGGCTGATATTCACATCCCTGCTAGCTTGTTATCTCTTGTTACACTACTGCATGAGTAGAAAAAGAGAATTCTAACAACTAGATGAAAGAATCACCCTTACAGAAGAGTCTGTGGTTTTGTTTTTTTCCCATAAGTAAGTACAACCAGTGTGAAAACAGGATGCAGAATGCACAGCCATCAAGCCTGCAAGGGCTGAACAAAAGCTGGATGAAATCTCAACTCTTAAGTCTTTCTCCTCTCTCTTTTTCCTTTTTTTTCCTTTTCATATGATATAAAAAAGGTCACTGCACTTTTGTAAAAGGTAGTAAAACTTATTAAATGGTTTTGGAGAGAAAAAAAATGAGCTAGGAGGTGCAGGAAAGGAGTAGAGTTTATCATCCTTTCTCATATCATTTAAAAGCTGAAGTTTTGCTTTTCTGTTTTAATAAAAAATACTGTTATGGAATAAACAGACTATGCTATCTAAATTCTATAGTGCAGAGCATGATTATACTTTGTTGTCTGAGTATCTGGTAATTATTTAAGTTCCGCAATAGGGTGTTTACCAAGACAAAAAAAAAATTCAGGCATACTCTTCAGCTGCTATTAAAAATTATCTTGGAGCATGTTTATTAAGTCCACAATAGTAAAAACCTTAACTTCAAATTTAGAAAGTAATGGTGCTTCAAATAATACACGAGTACAGCACGATAACAAACTAACCTAACCTCCTAGAAGTCCTGTGTGTTGGAGAAACGTAACCCGCGCTAAGGAGTCCGTGGATGGAGGTGTAAGCCAGCCACTCTTCCACCACGCGCAGCTCGGAGAAGTGGCTCTGGAACAGTTCTCCAATTAGTTTTCATTCACAGAATGGGTCTGGTCCTATACGAAGCTGTAAGCCTGCTTTCCTAAACCTTAGTAACCAAAGAAATACACTACACATGAGGTATGCTTCGTGAAGACTGTATCACAGAAGGTTCAAACGCACGGTTTTCCATGTAATGTTTTCCTGTAGTCATTACCAACCTCTCCCCTCACTTCATTTTCATTACTACTTTTAAAGGGAAAGTAATCTGGGTGTGGAAACAGTTTAAAATTACACATAGGCCCTCCTGAGTGAGTCAGAAGTAATGCAAACTTAAGTAGCAGCTGCTGGGATAGCTTTACCACCCACATTACTTAGCATGAAGATAACAGTGGTAAAAAGTGAAGAAAGCTCTATCACCAGTCCTACTTGAGTAAGTTTCCAGTGGGAAGATTTGCGTTATGCTGATTTGCTATAGATGGTTCTGCTTGGAAACTTGCAGCCTGTAAATGTGCAAGGTGATCATATTGTTTTGCTATGATCAGCAAACTGCTTTCTGAAGGGGGAATAAAACAATCCTATATTTTTGTGTAGCGTCAACTCAAGTAAGTAGACTGGATTATGTTACTAAGCATATACTCCACAGTGCAGTTTACTGAGTGCTAACAAGTGACATCAATAGTAAGACAATGAATGAAATAAGACAGTGAGCAAGAGACATTAAGTTATACATATCCAGAGACTGATAAAACAATAAACATTTATCAAGATACTAAGTAAGTCTGAAAGGTTCTGACTGGTTCTTAATATTATACTAATACATCCTTTTTTTTTTTTTTTTTCTTTTTTTTGGAATATTGTTACCTGAAGAGGGAAGGTGCTGTACTAGTAGCCAAAGACATCAATTTAGAAAAAAAAAAAAAGCACAACAGCAAAAAAATGAAATGTGGTAACATACCTATCGTTTAAAAATGGAACAAATTATATAGGATATCTATCAATAGGTGGCACCATACACAAGCACCAAGAAAATGCCACAGCTGCCCCAGTGCCAGCTAGGAAGACCACATTTCAGCATTCCCCTGCACTTCAGATATTACAAGAGATTTGTAGTCTATACATGTCATTATTCATTGTTTTCCATCATACAAGTCTTCCAGTTGTTTATTAATTTTTCAATCTTTAAAAAGGGCTGATGGAAATTACTATCTAAACCTGGTTCTTCTAAAGTAAACTCCAGCCAAGACGGATTTATCACAAAGCTACCTATTTAACAGGAAGGATAAAAATACTGAAGCCTGCCCATTCAGCGAATGCTTCACAAAGTTAGTAAGCAACACGAGGGAAAAAGCACTCAATATGGCTCAAAAGCTATCAAAATGTATGTATAAAGAGGTTAAATCAAGATTACAGAGCAACAGCGCTTTGCTCTTCATACAGTGCACAATTATTTTGGGTGATAGCCTCAGCCACCACAGCTTTTCCTACCTGATGACATCAAAGTAGAAAGACAAAAGCCTTAAGACACTACTGAGACTCCAGCATGAAAACTTTAATGTATCTCCCTTCCTGTTACATGAAGCTTTTATAACACACGGTTTGGGATGACAATACTACCCAGCATTATGTTCCACCAGTAAATTTCCAAAAGCACTTACAAAGCTACTCTATGCCCAGAAGAGAGCACAATCCATCTTTACAAATGAAGGACCGAAAAATCTTATCGAACTACTTATCAACTTTGCTTTCTCAAGAAAGCTGAATTAATATACTATACATAATGAAATGTTACTTAAGCAGAACTTCCCTGACCCTACAATTCTTTCTGCTACATAGATGAAGTTGCTGTTGCCCCGTCCCCAACCAATAAAACATCAGAGATTTCCCTGCCAACGTACCTGCTTCTAAAAACTACAGAAGATCAGATAACCCACGTGTTCAGTCCCGATTAATGATCGTAGCTGGAAAAAATGTATGAGGAAACTGCCCTGTAAAAACAAATGAGCAAAGCGTTACAGAAATACACAAAGCTGAAAGACCCTTCATTCAATAGGCTTTGAATCACAGTCTGCTTTAGAACACGGTCTAGCCAAAATTCATAAAAGTGTAGGCTTGTCTGGAGCTTGTAGACTCTTTTTATTTTTAAAGAATAAGGTTTTTTAAAGGTCAAGCCATTCTTCATCTGCAGGATTTACACCCTGACCATACCAATGACATTCCCAATCACTTGAGAATGGAATGCATTCAAGCTTTGCATTCTTTAAGAAGCTTTCAGCATAAAACCCAACTCCCTGGAAAAACCAATAAACATTGTGACATGTAATTTCTTCTAGTTTAAAAAAAAAAAAAAAAAAAGGCAAAAAAAAGGCATAGCTTACCAAAGATTTAAGGAAAACTAGGGAGAAATGTAAAGCATGCTGGTTTTGACCAAAATTATTGTTTTCAACTATGCATGTGTTATCTGAATATGGCAATTACAAAGACTGGTGCTTGAAAGCTGGGCTGGAAAACCCTTTGCACAGAATTTTTCAGACCAACCTCACTGTTCAATCACCAACAGCTAACAGTTATAGACTTTTTTTTTTTATTTTAGACTTGTGACATATTTCTGAACATATTTTACAACTGACACTGAGTATCAGGGCATGGTAAGAATTTATAACCCTTCCTATCCACCACATCAGCCTCTAAGACAAGCAGCTCAATCTCAGAAATGAAGTGACAGTTCAAGGCCTCTGTAACATGCCATGAAATAGCAAGTACCTGCTACGCAGGACAGCATTGCAGCTAGAATCATGTCATTAATAGCATAAGTTGCTGTACTTAATTCAGAGTTTCTGATTAGGGAACATATGCATACCTGCACCATTTGTTAATAAAGTCCAGCTCAAATTTACCAAACATACTTTTTTTTTTTTTTTTTGGTCAACAAGCAAAGGCAGATCTAGACTAATTCAACTTCTTTCACGGCTGTTCACCACCCCATGCAGATGTTATTACTAGCAGGGAAACAAGACAGGAGCAGCTAGAGCTACTCAACTGTTCTGCGCGCCAGGTTCATCAGAGAAACGCTGAATCCAAAATACCTGCTAGCTTCACCCATAGGTTCTCTACAGTGTCTCTTACTAACAAGTGTTGGAAGCCACTGAGCTTTATGAATGGCTTAAAAGAATCATGTCACCTCTCCAGAGGAGAGAAATTGCCTGCTCCGAAAGGATTATTTAAGCCCTACCTCGCTAATTAGTTCCCACTGTTCTTGCCCTCTAAATATGCAATGCAGTCCCAAGAAAGATTATCTACAGCACTGACAACAGGACCATTTGCAGTAACTAATTGCTGTTGTCATTTCTATGGACTTCAAAGACACACCCCCCCACCACCACTGTACAAATACTCACCACACAACTGTGTGAACTCCTTCCTAAAGGAAAGGATTAGAGCATGGGAAGTAACCACTTCTGAGATGCACTTCTGTCCTACTGACAGTAACAGCGTATTTATAGTTACCATTAAAATTCCACACACACCCCTGAAATCGCAAATAGTAATCTACGCATTTGTTATATTTAACACCAAACACAAATGCAAACAGAAAGACTAAATGTTTTCCTAACCCTATAAATTCAGAGGAATTCAGCTGAGAACCGAAACAGCCTCCGCAGACAGGCCATTTTCATGACCAGCCAGAAAGCTTACAACATAGACAGTTTCCCTTTCAAGCAAAAGTCTGGTCCCTCTACAAGTCAGCAGCAGCACTCAAAACGTGCTGTCTTTGTCCCATCCAGGCAGCTGCCCCCGGCTGAACTCACCTCACCGCTGTCACAACAAATACACGGGTGCAACATCAAGCTTGCACACCAGAACTTGAGAACTTCTCTGCTAAACCATAGGGCACATCCTCTGTATAACAAGCACCTTTACTGCTAACAGCTCCAAAAATGACTGGAGTACATCAATAAAAATAATAATAAAATAAAACAAAATTTTAAAAAAAATCAGGTTTCATTACTTTTTCTTAAAAGTATAAGAATAAAATAAGACTAAAAGTTCTGGTGACCAGTCCAAAGCCACACAAAGGTTCTCCTACCAACTTGTTCCTATCTATTCTAAATGGCAGCTCACACTTTCAACGTTTTCAAATACATATCAGCATTTCTACATTCATCTCTAACGAACCCTAAGAAATAAGATCTAAAAATATTTTGCAACTATGTATTTTGGGGTGGGAGGGAAGAAGCGCAAAATATGAGAAAGAGTTTAGCAAGACAGCTGAGGAACAGCTGAATCACTCCTAGCACGAGTTCTGCTCAGTCTTAAGAGTCCCAACAGACCTGGGTGCTACACAATGATCCATCCCTGAATCATTTTTCAGGTCAGGTAATTCTTTGCCTCAGTTGCAATCACCGGCTCTGAACTCTGCTTCTTTGCTCACCTACATGCACCTTCTATTCCTGCAAGGTCAGAACACTGTTTATTTTGCCTGTGCTCAGTTCCAATTTTTTGTCTCTGCCTAAACAAGCGGTGCCTGCTTCAGCTGGTGTGTTAATGCTGCAGGACTCGGGGAGGTCCCTCTCTCTTTACCCTCGCGCAAGCCTCTCTACACTTACACAGGTACTGCAAACAGCTGCTCGGGCTAGTCCTACCAATCAACACTTCTACCACGGAAAGCAAGATTCAGATTTTCTCCTGGTCATGAGGTTCTGTCAAAGCTTACCTCATACCACACACTCCCATGAGTACGAGGAAAAAAAATAACTGAACACTTTCCAACTTAGGTGTCACTAGACTACAAGAACATAAAACCATTTCTCAAATTTACAATCAAAATTCTTCTTGCCGCAATGGGCTTACTTTCCCAGCCAGGATTTAAGAACAGATAAAACCATGCAAGGTCCTTTACCATGGAAATGAAATGAAAACTATTCTAGGCAGACTCCAGTTTCAATCCATCCTTATCCTTCTGTCCTAAATAATTCTACTTCCTTACAATGGTTTACACTTGGGTCAGAGATTGCTACAAAGTATTTTTTAACATACAGAAAAACTTAAAAGCAGTGAAGTAATGTTTACAAGTTCAGAGATGTCTGTATGGGAGATAAAAAAAAGGTCAAAGTCTTAGCTTTAAGTTCTATCACTTAAGAGATCATGCTGCTTCCCCAAACATCGCTAGGCTATATGAGTTTTTAAGCTAAAATGTAAGGCACACTAACTGAAAAGCAATGTGTTTTTAAAGTACACGTCACTGAATTACAACAGCATAAGGAAATTGAACCAGCATCAGGATGCAACATGCCAGATGCAGGATGCTGGCAGTTGAATGTTAGCTGATCAGCAAAGATAAAACCAAATTTTGCAAATCCCGTACATCGTAAACAAACTTTTATCAACAGCACTAATGAATCCTAGTGTTTATAGTTAAAACACAGAATTAATTTATTTACCTATTCTTGCCAGATATCTTATATTGCATATGAGAAACATTCCCTGAGAGGTAACATTTCAATCTGTATTTTCAGCACAAAAAGCCAGACAGGGAGATAGAAAAACAAGAACCGCCGTGTGCTGGACTGAAGGAATCCCCGCAGCATTAACAGAACTCGACTGGAAACCTGTTCACTCAAAAGAGCGAATATTCAAAGCTATTCAGAAGCCCGGTCACACATTCACTGACACTTATTGGCCTAAGCGAAGAAATACTGGGGTCTTGGCTGAGCTTCTGCAATTGTATCCTGAAGTACCAGCACTAAAGGAAGAGATGCCGAAGGCTGATGAAGCCATACGGAATGCACTGTCCTACCAAGTCTGGAACTGGTCTCTCCAGGTAAGGGCGAGGCAGGTGTGCAAAGCCAACAGGAAAGTTTGGGCTGCCAATACCTTACCTATTTTGCAGCTCAGCATGGTTCTACTCTCCAGTGCCATTATGCAACTCCTTTCTCACAAAAAAGACTAACCTGTGCATTTCAAAAGCTGTAGTTTCAGAATGGAATTATTACATTCTTCACTAAACTGCATTAGAAGACTAAATCCTACAAGCTTGTCCTGCTGCATCCAACACACTGCAAATGGACATAATTGGGTCACCTAATTTTCCCGTTTGGCAGGCACAGAGAATGAAATTAAGTTCTCATTTATTTTTAATATGACTCACAAGACAGAATAATAAATGAGAAAGATCTATATATTACAGCCAAAACTGCCAGCCCAGCTTTGCCAAAGCAATAAATTTGAGTTTAAAACCATTCCCTTCCTTTCCCCAGCAGTGAAGGAGGTTGGTCAGTAAACAAATGGAAAAGCTGTCCTGTTCCAGAGCACTTCATTGCCCATG